TAACAACTGACCATTAATACACAAGATGACATAACCCAGAAACCACAGCTATGGATATATCGAAAGTAAAATAAGCCTACAACATTATAAACAGGGAACCAGAGACATCAATTGGCAAGTAAGGACAACTACAAACAAAAAGAGGGAAAATACTGTGTAGTTACAGCACTTCTAAATGGTGAGGAAGTAAAGAGAGTTACAAGATAGAATGGACTGTTCTAAACTTAGGGAGAAAATTATAAATTAGAGGGGGACCTCAAAGAAAAATGATAAACCTTCACATCACAATAAAAAAGAGGACAAGCACAAATATTCAGCAAAAACTGAAACAACAGCAAAAAAGGGAATGATAACACAATTCATAAATGTAATGAGTTCAGCACAAAAAATAATGTGGAAAAAAGAAACCAGAGACCATGAAAAAACACATAACAAAATGACAGCTACCAATTCATACATGTCAATAATTACACTGAATGTTAATGAATTAAATGCACCACTAAAGAGACAGAGAGTTGCAGATTAGATAAGAAAACAAAACCCAACAATATGCTGCCGAGAAAAGACACACCTTAGAGACAAAGACAAAAACAGACCAAAAATCAAAGGTTGGAAAAAGATATATCAAGCAAATGGTAACTGTAAGAGAACAGGAGTAGCAATATTAATTTCTGATCAAATTGACTTTATGACAAAAACCACCATACGAGACAAGGAAAGACATTATATAATGATTAAAGGATCAATTGAACATGAAGATATAACCATAATAAGTATCTACGGACCCAATGAAAGAGCCCCAAAATAAATAAGTCAGACTTTAAAAGACTTAAACAGTCAAATAGATGACTCCACAGTCATAGTGGGAGTCTTTAATATACCACTTTCCTTGAAAGATAGAACAAGTGGAAAGAAACTTAACAAAGATGCAGAAGAGCTAAACAATACAATCCACCAACTTGAACTTATACACATCGACAGACCACTTCACTCAACAAAAGCACAATATACATTCTTCTCCAGTGCACATGAAACTTTCCATGATAGACCATATGTTAGTCCATAAAACAAGCCTTCATTAATTTAAAAACATTGAAATACTGCAAACCATCTTCTCAGATCATAATGCTATCAAATTAGAAATCAACAATAAGCAGATCAACAGAAAAAGAGCAAACACATAGAAACTGAACAACACCCTCCTTGAGAAAGACTGGGTAAGAAAATAATTCAAAATTTAAATTCAAAAATTCCTTGAATCAAATGAGAATGAAAACACAGCATACCAAATTCTTTGGGACACAGCAAAAGCAGTGATCAGAGGCCAATTTATAGCAATAAAGGCACGCATCATCAAAAAAAAAAAAAAAAGAAAGAGCCAAAATTAACACTTTAAAGCAACATCTACAATAATTAGAAAAGGAACAGCAAGAAAAGCCTACAGTCACCAGAAGAAAGGAAATAATAAAGATTCGAGAAGAAATCAATGAAACAGAAAATAGAAGGGGAATAGAAAAACTCAACAAGACCAGAAGTTGGTTTTTT